ATGAATGGAAATATACAATTCAGTTGCCTTTGAGAGATAATCTGGAAATAGTTACTGAAATTAATACCAGGTTGCCATTATTCAAAACATAACATCAGCAATACCAAAGTATTTAGAGCAATTAAAACCCAGCCAAGACTACTATCTCTAACGTCTTTTGAAAAATTTCACTTCACTTCCTGTTCAGTATGACATCTGCCATCTGGACATTAAGTAAGGGTGAGCTCTCCTAAGTGGAAATAAAGACAGCAATAAAAACCTGACACTTTGCTGATGGGTCCCCGCTGGGGAGAGTAATACAATCTGAAAGAGGTACTACTATCTATTGAAAACGTTCTAGGAAAGGGAAAATTTTGTGATAGTTGTACCTGAAGATGTGCAGACACTATCTGGCCACCCTCAGGGATCTAGTTGCATCATTTGACCATACATTTGTAGGTTATAGAAAAAGGTGGGGAAAGAAAAACTACAGATTTATCCAGCCCTGACTTAAAACTCGGAAATCAAAAGCAATTAGGCATGTTTTTTTTCAACATTAGTTTCTGGTCAGGTCATAGCCAGCAGTGACTGTTGGTGCTGTATACAAACCTGACCTGATTAGTATGTGAACCCCTTGGGATTACGTGGAGTTTTGCATGAATTGGGCATAAAATGTGCTCTGAACGTCATCTAAGTCACAACAATAGAAGAACACAGTCTGCTGAACATAATACTACACAAACATTAGATGTTGCCATGGTTTAATTGCACATAACATGTAAACATTCACAGTGCAGGGAGGAAAAAGTATGTGAGGCCCTAGCTTAATGACTTCTCCCAGAGCTAATTGGAGCCAGGAGTGAGCCAACCTTGACTCCAATCAGTGTGATGATATTGGATGTGTTGCTGACAGCTGTCCTGCCCTTAAAAAACACACACCTGTTTTGGGTTTACTGGTTTCAAGAAGCACTGTCTGATGTGAACCATGCCTCGCAGAAAAGAGCTCTCAGAAGACCTACAATCAAGAATTGTTGACTGCTTGAAGCTGGAAAGGGTTACAAAAGTATCTCCAAAAGCCATGATGTTCATGTGTCCACGGTAAGACAGACTGTCTACAAATGGAGAAAGTTTAGCACTGTTGCTACTCTCCCTAGGGAGTGGTTGTCCTGTAAAAATGACTGCAAGAGCACAGCGCAGAATGCTGCATGAGGTAAAGAAGAATCCCAGAGTGTCAGCTAAAGACCTACAGAAATCTCTGGCACATGCTAACATTTTTGTTGACACATCTACAATAAGGAAAACATTAAACAAGAATGGAGTACATGGGAGGACACCATGGAGGAAGCCATTGCTGTCCAAAAAGAATATTGCAGCACGTTTGAAGTTTGCAAAAGAGCACCTGGATGTTCCACAGTACTACTGGCAAAATATACTGTGGACAGATGAAACCAAGATTGAGTTGTTTGGGAAAAACACACACTATGTGTGGAGAAAAAAAAGGCACAGCACACCAACATCAAAACCTCATCCCCACTGTAAAACATGGCGGAGGGAGCATCATGGTTTGGGGCTGCTTTGCTGCCTCAGGGCCTGGACGGATTGTTGTCATTGATGGGAAAATGAATTCCAGAGTTTATCAAGACATTTTGCAGGAAAACGTACGACTATCTGTCCTCCAACTGAAGCTCCGCAGAGGATGGGTGATGCAACAGGACAATGACCCAAAGCATACAAGTAATTCAACAAAACAATGGCTGCAACAGCACAGAATACACCTTCTGGAGTGGCCCAGTCAGAGTCCTGACCTCAACCCAATTGAAATGCTGTGGCATGACCTTAAGAGAACGATTCACACCAGACATCCCAAGAATATTGCTACACTGAAACAGTTTTGTGAAGAGGAGTGGTCCAAAATTATTCCAGATCGTTGTGCAGGTCTGATCTGCAACTACAGGAAATGTTTGGTTGAGGTTATTGCTGCCAAAGGAGGGTCAACCAGTTATTAAGTCCAAAGGTTCACATACTTTTTCCTCCCTGCACTGTGAATGTTTACATGTTATGTGTGCAAATTAACCTCCTTGGCGGTATTCCCGAGTGTAGCTCGGGGTAACATTTCAGTACCAAAAGCGGTAACCCCGAGCTACACTCGGGAATACCATGCGGCGCTGCTCCGGCATGTGTTCTTCACTTTACCTTACCCTGCGCTCCCACGATGTGTGTCCCCCTGCAGTGTCCCCGGCCATCTCCTCCGGCCGATGCCGGCATCCGGCTTCTGTCTCCTGTCCCTGTGACGTCGGGACGTACGGGCGCCGCCGGCGGCGGGAAATTTAAAAAATTTAAAAATTTTAAAAAATGTCATTTTTTTTTTTTTTTTCATTTTACACAGTAAAACATTGCTGTTTCAACCTATTTCACATACATATTGTCCCTAGTGCTTTGTCCGGCGCCCTGCCTGCATTTTGTCTGTTCTTTCTGCCTGGAAACTGAGAAATGTCCATGGCGTCCAAAAAGTGTCCCTTTAGGTCAAAAGCGGTTTAGATCAGCTAGAGAACAGCGATAGTAAATCAGAACCACTTGCAGAATTGAGTGATAATGATTCGTGGGGGAAATTCGTCATCAGAAACTGAAAACGATTTTGCGACTAAGCTCAGCAATGTGCGAACTTGGCGCTATATTTCACATTTCAGTGTTTTTGGTTTGATTATATTATTGAATTAAATTTTTTATTATTTTTATATTATTTTTATGATTATTTATTAAATTATAATTTATGATTTTGTGTTTCAAATTTTATCATACCCGGGATGTTTACTAGACTCTTGTTCGGACAGATTTCAGTGAGTTTTTCCTAAAAATTACAGCCTACAAATAAAAAAAATACATATTTCCATGCAAAAAAATGGTACCGCTTTCAGCACCAAAAATCTGAAATAATCATACCGCCAGGGAGGTTAAACCATGGCAACATCTAATGTTTGTGTAATATTATGTTCAGCAGACTGTGTTCTTCTATTGTTGTGACTTAGATGACGTTCAGAGCACATTTTATGCCCAGTTCATGCAAAACTCCACGTAATCCCAAGGGGTTCACATACTTTTTTTTGCAACTGTATGACTTAGTATACCAGGGATGATGAGAGTTTAAAAAAGGGTTAAAGGTGACTATTCCAACACAGTAAAGGAAAATATGAGTATACTGTATATGGGTTTTCCAAAGAGAGAATAACAGAAGCTTTTCAGACTCTACAGTTCTGTTTTGAACAAAGCAAAAAGGGAGATGAGTCAGTCTTCTGATTATTTCAGTTATGTGTTTGTAAATATGAGCCTTAACTATTGCACTCTGTAGACAATTGTCTTGTTTCAACCATGGGGAACCTAGTGCTCTAGCTGGCTAAAAACTAAAGTACAAAATACCCATATAAAACATTTTATAGTGAAAAAAGATGAATTATTTAATCTTGAACATAGTAGGTAGTTAAAGAAAATATATGTGTCACTAGTGCTTTTAAAATGTAACCAGCTCACACAGATTTTGTAATAAGTTTCACAGTCAACTTTTTTAGGTTAGCGATCTTCCATCCGGTGTATTTTATCTAATTACAGTATTCATTCCATCACTGTTGGTGGACTAAAGGGCTTCCAATATTTTGGGACCAGATTTTTAGCAGCATTTAGGAGGTGGGCATAATTGATTTCTTATATTTGGAAACAAACTTGGGTGTATTGTGCAACAGCAGCACCAAGGGTCCTGTGTATGAGTCACAATAGTTAGCTTTCAAATTACATTGCCAATATGTGCCCAGAAAGATTTTTATTAGTGAACACTTGTAGCAAATATAAGAGAGCGCACCTGGGACTAGACCACACACCCAACACAATGAAGAAGTTCCATAACCCCATCTAATTAGGTACACTGGATCACTATACCATCTCTATACCAATATGGGTGGAGAGAAGAATTTTGTATTTGTGTTCTGAAGTGAGATCATGAGACAATTCATGTTCTCAATTGGCCAAGTAGTTTGGGAGGTCAACATGTGTCACTTTGAGCAGTTTTTATATAGCAGCAAAACACTGTGCAATGCCCTGAAATGGACGCAAATACCCTTTCTATCTGGTTAGGAGAGTCCAGATTTAATAGTGGTTGTGAAAGGCTTTCTAGAGAAGTGGCAGGATAGGCTTCGCTGAAGAGATGAGTTTTCAAGGATCACCAAAAGGAAAGCAGAGCAGGAGACTGAGCTAAACAGATTGGGTAGTGAATTCCAGTGGATGGGAGTGGCTCAGGAGAAATTCTGATGATGAGCACTGGAGGAGCTGATGATGAAACTGGCAAGCAGGAGGTCTTAGAACAGTGGTTCTCAACCTTTCTAATGCCGCGACCCCTTAATACAGTTCCTCATGTTGTGGTGACCCCCAACCATAAAATATTTTCGTTGCTACTTCATAACTGTAATTTTGCAGTGGGAGGAGTAGTGCCACATCATTGGTGGTAGTGCCCCATCACTGATGTCAGTGGGATAAATAGTGCCCCATCGTTGGTATCAGTGGGAGGAATAGTGCCCCATCGTTGGTATCAGTGGGAGGAATAGTGCCCCATCATTGATGTCAGTGGGATGAATAGTGCCCCATCATTGGTATCAGTGGGAGGAATAGTGCCCCATCGTTGGTATCAGTGGGAGGAATAGTGCCCCATCACTGATGTCAGTGGGATGAATAGTGCCCCATCACTGGTGTCAGTGGGAGGAATAGTGCCCCATCACTGGTGTCAGTGGGAGGAATAGTGCCCCATCACTGATGTCAGTGGGATGCATAGTGCCCCATCGTTGGTATCAGTGGGAGGAATAGTGCCCCATCACTGATGTCAGTGGGATGAATAGTGCCCCATCACTGGTGTCAGTGGGAGGAATAGTGCCCCATCACTGGTGTCAGTGGGAGGAATAGTGCCCCATCACTGGTGTCAGTGGAGGAATAGTGCCCCATCGTTGGTGTCAGTGGGATGAATAGTGCCCCATCGTTGGTATCAGTGGGAGGAATAGTGCCCCATCGTTGGTATCAGTGGGAGGAATAGTGCCCCATCATTGATGTCAGTGGGATGAATAGTGCCCCATCATTGGTATCAGTGGGAGGAATAGTGCCCCATCGTTGGTATCAGTGGGAGGAATAGTGCCCCATCACTGATGTCAGTGGGATGAATAGTGCCCCATCACTGGTGTCAGTGGGAGGAATAGTGCCCCATCACTGGTGTCAGTGGGAGGAATAGTGCCCATCACTGATGTCAGTGGGATGCATAGTGCCCCATCGTTGGTATCAGTGGGAGGAATAGTGCCCCATCACTGATGTCAGTGGGATGAATGGTGTCACTGGTGTCAGTGGGAGGAATAGTGCCCCATCACTGGTGTCAGTGGGAGGAATAGTGCCCCATCACTGGTGTCAGTGGGAGGAATAGTGCCCCATCGTTGGTGTCAGTGGGAGGAATAGTGCCCCATCGTTGGTGTCAGTGGGAGGAATAGTGCCCCATCGTTGGTATCAGTGGGAGGAATAGTGCCCCATCGTTGGTATCAGTGGGAGGAATAGTGCCCCATCGTTGGTATCAGTGGGAGGAATAGTGCCCCCATCGTTGGTGTCAGTGGGAGGAATAGTGCCCCATCGTTGGTGTCAGTGGGAGGAATAGTGCCCCATCGTTGGTGTCAGTGGGAGGAATAGTGCCCCATCGTTGGTGTCAGTGGGAGGAATAGTGCCCCATCGTTGGTGTCAGTGGGAGGAATAGTGCCCCATCGTTGGTATCAGTGGGAGGAATAGTGCCCCATCGTTGGTATCAGTGGGAGGAATAGTGCCCCATCGTTGGTATCAGTGGGAGGAATAGTGCCCCATCGTTGGTGTCAGTGGGAGGAATAGTGCCCCATCGTTGGTGTCAGTGGGAGGGAATAGTGCCCCATCGTTGGTGTCAGTGGGAGGAATAGTGCCCCATCGTTGGTGTCAGTGGGAGGAATAGTGCCCCATCGTTGGTGTCAGTGGGAGGAATAGTGCCCCATCGTTGGAGTCAGTGGGAGGAATAGTGCCCCATCATTGGTGTCAGTGGGGGAATAGTGCCCCATCATTGGTGTCAGTGGGAGGAGTAGTGCCCCATCATTGGTGTCAGTGGGGGGAGTAGTGCCCCATCATTGGTGTCAGTGGGAGGAATAGTGCTCCATCACTGGTGTCAGTGGGGGGAGTAGTGCCCCATCACTGGTGTCAGTGGGAGGAGTAGTGCTCCATCACTGGTGTCAGTGGGAGGAATAGTGCCACATCATTGGTGTCAGTGGGAGGAATAGTGCCCCATCATTGGTGTCAGTGGGGGGAGTAGTGCCCCATCAGTGGGGGGAGTAGTGCCCCATCATTGGTGTCAGTGGGAGGAATAGTGCCCCATCACTGGTGTCAGTGGGGGGAGTAGTGCCCCATCACTGGTGTCAGTGGGAGTAGTGCCCCATCACTGGTGTCAGTGGGAGGAATAGTGCCACATCATTGGTGTCAGTGGGAGGAATAGTGCCCCATCATTGGTGTCAGTGGGAGGAATAGTGCCCCATCATTGATGTCAGTGTGGTGGAGGGGAGAATAGTGCCCCATCATTGGGGTCAGGGGGGGGGGGGGAAATAGTGTCCCATCGTTGGTGTCAGTGGGGGGAGGAATAGTGCCCCATCATTGGTGTCAGTGGGAGGCAATAGTGCCCCATCATTGATGTCAGTGTGGTGGAGGGGAGAATAGTGCCCCATCATTGGGGTCAGGGGGGGGGAAATAGTGCCCCATCATTGGTGTCAGTGGGGGGAGGAATTGTGCCCCATCGTTGGTGTCAGTGGGGGGAGGAATAGTGCCCCATCGTTGGTGTCAGTGGGAGGAGGAATAGTGCCCCATCGTTGGTGTCAGTGGGAGGAGGAATAGTGCCCCATCGTTGGTGTCAGTGGGGGGAGGAATAGTGCCCCATCGTTGGTGTCAGTTGGGGGAGGAATAGTGCCCCATCGTTGGTGTCAGTGGGGGGAGGAATAGTGCCCCATCGTTGGTATTAGTGACAAAAATGATGGGGCACTATTCCTCCCACTGACACCAATGATACTTACTTTGCTGACCCCTGCTCCAGCCTGGGCTCGCTCTCTCACTTACCTGTCAGCTGTCTTCCTTCTCTGGCCGCTCTCCTCTTCACTCGCTCCGGCAGCTCCCTCGATCTTCTTTGATGTACGCGCGCTGCCGCTCGGCTCCTCCTCTCCAAGCTCCACCTCCTCACCGGTGATTGGCCAATCCTCTCCTGAGCTACAGTTCCGGTGGATCAGCGGCGAGGAGGCGGAGCTGCTGAGCGATCCGGAGGTGTGGCCAGGTGACAGGAGCAGCGTATCATCCCGCCCACACATCGCCTGAGACGGAGGAGCGGTGTCTCGGTTCCTAAGACCATCGGAAATATGTATTTTCCGATGGTCTTAGGCGACCCCTGGGAAATGGTCGTTCGA